GTGCTACCTTGGAAGCAAGACATTTACTATCCCTGGAAAGTTCCTCTGCTCCAGAGGCTTCTCTAGCATCTTGCTGCAGGTCGGGCTCTTTGTGCCTTTGCAGGCATCTCAGGTTCTCCGGCGGGATGGATGTATCTCGGCATGCACTGCAGCAGCCTGCGCCTGCTTGAGCAGGGGGCAGATTCTCTGTGATGTGGACTGCAAAATCATTTGTGAAGTGTACTGACCCGTTGCCATCACCTTGAAAGTCTCAGCTGTAGGCTAAACGACAGCTTGAAAAAAGCTCATCTGAGAGCCCCACACCTATTACTGCACTGGAATACTGTTTTCCTTGCACAGATCCTCTGGACTCTGAAATTTCAAGTGAGAAACATTGAGGAGGATCAAGCTTTTAAGGCACAAGTACACTTCAATGTATTTACTCACTGCACTAGCGTAGGAGCCATGATGCACGGTGATCTGCAGCTTTGGGTGATGCAAATGGGATTTTGCACTGTTCAACCCTGGGAAAAAATATATTCAAACAACGTCACATTTGAACAACAGCCCATTTTCCGACACAGATGATTGAAAGCAAAGGAATACTTAAGGTACCTTGCAATCCTTCTGTCTCCTGTCCCAACCTCTGGAGCCTCTGTAAGAGACCCAGGGCTTGGCTCCAGTAAGTAGAGAGTCACTAAGCTGCGGGAGCAGCTGAACTCACACCAGCTCCCATCACTGCCCACCTACGGTACCAAACAGGCAGCACCAAACCCACCCCTTTATTCTAGACACAGAGTTGTCTTTGAGGATCCTCATTGTTTTCTGTTCTCTATGTTTCTTTCCAGATTGCCTGAAAATCACTTTGTTGATGTAAATACTAAAGTCATACACTTTTAAAAGAGATCTGGCAATAATCTATGTAACTTTAGAGGGGAGTTCAAAAGATCTTCAAACCTAAGTTGAGGCCCTGTAATATTGTGTTACCCAAGTATATCTCTCTCTTTCAGCCTGTCCAAAATATCTAATGTGAATTAGGCAGCTGTCCCTATTCTTAATTGATTTTCCTCTAATCCTGGCAGAAATAATTTTCACTCTCAAGTGTTGTTTTCTTTCTTCCGACGATGAGTATCATGCAAATCTTTTAAAACTCCTTACATGAACTGCTGTGGAAATGTAATTGTTAATCTGTCCCCCAGATGTAATGTTTTCACTTGAATTTTTCAAAGCAGAGCCTGAAAGTGAACTATGTAGCTTTCAGTTTGGAGCTTTCCAAACGAAGCCACTACATCTCATATTTTCTCCAGCTCACTGGGGAAGGAGGATTTGCAGGAAAACAGAGGATAGGGCCTCAAAAGGAGGTGCAGAAGCTGAGAGCTTTCCCACTCCTGGCTGATGAAGTCCCAGAGGAGATGTGCATGTAAGCAATTCCAGACCAGCGTGAAAAGTGTCATCAAGCAGAACCTGTGAAGTCGCAGGCTTTGCAACTATCAGATTATATTAGTTTTCTGTGCAGAAATTAGTCTTTCAACACCCTGGCATTTTTCTAAAATAGACCTTAATAAAAACAGCCCAGCTTACTGGACCCCAAGGAGAATGCTTCATCACATCAGTTTTAGGGCATTACCATTATGCTTTCATTCTTCTTTTGCAAATAGTAAGAATTCCCATGTATCTAAATATTCCCTGTTGATATCTGATCTGCTCCAGGATTAACCTGTCATCTGGTTTTGATTCCTCTGCTGCAGGATGCCCCGAGGGAAGCTTTGGCCCAAGCTGCGAGTCCAGCTGTCAGTGCCAGAACGGAGCTGCCTGCGACCACGTGAGCGGAGCCTGTACTTGTGCAGCGGGCTGGACAGGAACGTTTTGTGAAAGAGGTACTGCTGCTCCCTCTGGTCCCTTTCAGGTTTATGCAGATTTTTTTTTTTTTTCCTCTGGATCACCAGGGAATTTACAGCACCTCATCTAAATAAACCGTTGAACTTCTCTGCAAGATAATTCTGAAATGTGCACTTCCATCCTAACTCAGCAAAGCATTTTGCCATGTGCCTAGCGTTGGGCACATGTTTTAATGTCATTAAAATTAGATGCGTGCTGAAGACCCCTTCTACATCACATCTTTATGAAGACTCTTTGTAAGCAGGGTCTTACTGTTGTAAAACTAAACAGGAAGATGTCTGTCCTGCCTTACACTTGCTTGCCCCTGGTGCATCTCTGAAACATTTTAGAGGAAAAACATAGATCTGTGCATCTTCCTGAAGGAGCTCTTTAAGAACAGATGTACTTTAATAAATCCAACAGATCATTTTCTATTACTTGGTAAAGTGTTGGAAAGGTTGGACTGGATTCCTTAGATACATTATTGTGAGTCAGTCTGGAGCATCATCTGAGGGTGGTTGTGCTGCGTCATTGTGCAGATCATTAAAAATACAGTCTTGATACGACAGAAACAGCACATAGACATTATGCAAGTTATTGAATTGTAAATGATTGAAGATTCTACAAATGATGATCATTAAACCAAATTAACAATCATTTTGCTTAGGAAGCGGCTTTATCAGCCCGTTTCTGAAGGCAGCGTTACAGCTATGATGGAGGGAAGCTGCCGTGCACTCGCAGGCAGCTGCTGCCCTCTGATGGGAAGGGAGCTGCTGCACAGCCTCACTGGTCATGGAGCAAACTGGAGTTCAGATAGTGCTGCTTTTTCCCCTCTCATTCTTACCAGGAGTTATACAAAATAAATACTCTTTTCAAGGTTCTGCTGCAAGTTGTGCCTCCTAATTTATAGTATCTCCACTATGTCCCTTCTTAAAAAGATTTAGCTGAACTCTGTTTTCATAAGTCTATCCTGTTTTAATTTTTATTGGAAAAGCAATACAGTTATCTGTGTTGTGATGTAAATTTGGGGGATTGATTTTCTTTTTTCAGGTGGGGAAAAAAGTGTTGCAGTTCCTTTTCATTAACTTGCTACCTTCAGTATGAAGTAGGACTTCGTAGGTTTACATGCCATCCCCTATTGCAAAACGTCACTTTGGACACTTTAAAGTTCTTTATTTGCCACAATTTTCGATAATCTCTTCTTATTGTTTATTAGCATTCTTAATGCAATCATAGCCCTTGCTAAGTCTCAACATGGGGCTTTTGTAGTATCTCTCTTTATGGTGAAGTTAACCAGGCTTATCCAGTGTACTCTGCCTCTGTGGTTGCGCACTAGGAACTGTAGAAAGTTCTTGGATTTACAGTACTGCGGTCAAGTGAGCCTGTATTTATCGTTTCAAGAATTTTTGTTACCGGCTGACATGCTGCAGTGTCTTGACCAGTAACTAGCGTTTATCCCCTAGCGAGGCAGCCAGCCTAAGGGAAGAACACAGTCACGATTGAGTGTGCCATGGTGTCTGAGGCAAGGGCGATGCTTCAGTCATGTTTCAATTTTAACTAAATCAAGGCAAACCTTTCAGTTCTCTGGACTCAAATGTTTTGGAGGAATAACACAAGACCTTGTATGTGATTCAGTGTTCTCTGAAAAGATCATGAAGAGTGGGGACAGTGTGGTGGCTCAGAAGATATTTGCAATATTCACTGCAAGCTGGCATGTACCTAGGTATATCGCCTCTCAGTAATACAGATAACAGCCAAAGCCACACCATCACCCACCAGCACAGGACAGTTTCCAGGCTAACCAGTAGCAGGAGATACTGCTGCTCCAGGTTGCTGTTTTCATGAGACCTTGCTGTGAATTAGTCAGGAGTTGACTGAACTTCTGTGTCCTCAGCAACAGGATGCTGCCAAGAGACCTCACACTCTTCAAAGTGCTTTTGTCTGTCCATCAGCATCTCGGTTCTGCTTTGCTCCGAGTCAGCTCTCATCTCCACCTGTATCGTTCAGTCGTACTGCTGTCTCTCCAGTAGTGATGTGAGCTTATATAAGAATAACGGGAAAGAATGAATTTATCAAGACACTTTCTTTCAGAAAGTTAGACATTTCTGAAGGTGGTACATGCCTGCTCCATCTTTCAGGTGTGCTCAGTCAATTAAAAAAAAAGGAATCTTGTGAATCCTGTAACTCTTTCAAAAGAGCTGTAAAAGGGACAGAACTGTTTCAGTTGCAAAGTAGCTGATGTTTGCAAATAAGCCTGAAAACAACATAATCTACAAAGAAATGTTTGCAGTCTATATGAACAACCCAGGAAAGGCTTCCTTTGCATTTTCTTGAAAGCAGCAAGTGATGCAACCAGAACACTGAAGAAATATCGTACGTTTCTTCACAATGTCTAGCATTACCAAGGGAAAATGAATCATTTTCGGTGGTTCCTTGAGAGTGATGCTACTAGCAATGCCACTGAGTATGTGTCCTCTCTGAGTGGAGAATGTTACGTGCCTGGGGAGAAGGTACCCAAGGCACTTCTGGAGTTCTGTCTGTTCTTGAACTGAAGCAGCCATTTATCCCTCTGTATTCTTTGTGCAAAAGCAGTAATCATAGCATAAGATAGCTTTGTAAGTCCTTTCTTTATCCTTTTGAAGCATAGATAATGCAAGTAGTATTTTCTCCAGAAAAGGTGCCTACTGTGATCACCCACTGCTGCAGAGCTTTGGTTTTAATGCACTTAAGCTAAACCGGCAAGTAAAAAAAAAATCAAATAAACCCAACAAAAAAAAAAAAAATCCAAAACCAATCTTTCTAGTAATAAATAGATGAATATATCAATGCTTACTGCAAATAAATATAAACATCTGACATGCTGGAAGCCTGGGCCGTGGGCTCCTGATCTCAGGCAACCCACCTGTCCAGCCAGCAAACCCAAAAGCCATCGAGGTGTGCCTGTGTTCCCTATCCGTGCTTGCAGCTCTGTTACAAGTGCACTGTGCCGGGTGAGCTCAGTCGCCCTGCCCTGCACCAGGTTTGCTCTGCTCCCATTTGGGAAGGCAATTGGTATAACTGGTGTAATTCTTTGGAGTGCTGAGCATCTGCTGCTCTCGCTCTGAAGATTGTGATTGTCTTCACTGCACCGTAATTTTGTTTAATTTTGTTCCCCACTGCTCTGCTATGTGTTGTATGACATTTGTCCACTTATGGGATCAGGCCAACAGAATAATTATCCAGTTCACTGCTTGATCTGAATTAGTATCCCAAAATGCTACACAATTAGCCCACAAACTGGAGGCAGCAGGAGTCTCAGACTTTTCCTACCATATGTTTATTAATTGCCGCATTAGTAACAGCGATGTATCGCCCTTGTGAAGTGCAGCACTCAGTTTGCATTTGCACTGCTGCCCAATTCAGCACTACTGCAGGACAGGCTGGCTGGGCTTCTCTCTTGGAATTTCAGCAGTTAGTTGTTACCATAACATAGCGTAGCGAGAGTTCTGTTTTAATAAGATAAAAGGGAAGAATAAATACTGTGCCTGTCTAGGAATAGCTGACAATGCTGTGTAGTCTCTGCATTAAACAAAAAAATACTTTGTCAGCCTTTGAAGTCACCTAGGGTTAAGTAGAAGTCCTTTCTTCTGTGCTGTGCCATACATGCTACTAGAGCATCATAAATAAGGTCATCAAGATTGAAACCACATGCTGATGTCTCTTCCTTACAACTTGATAACGGCTCTTTCCCCAGTATGAACGGAACAGAGGCTGAGGAATGTGTTACAGTTTTGTATCAGTAGGATATAAACTGTTTTTCTGAGACTGCACGTTCTTCAGAAGTGGTGTAAGGCTGCAATCTTCCACATGCCAAAGAAGAAGCTGCAGTCGGGACAGGATGAAGGGAAGAGGAGCCTTTGATTTTAAGTAGATGAAACAATCATATGTAGTCCCAAGCTGAGCAGGAGCTCTGAGAGTAAAGGAGCCAAAGCGGACATGGTGTTACGCTGCCATCATTGCTGTCTGAAGGTCCGGGCTTGCCTTTATCTACAGACACTGAATTTCCCCCCTTGTATCCAAAGCAGACAGCAGTGCTTTCTGCCAGAGGACTTACTGTCATTCCCACAAATTAAATTAGGAGTAGACTGGTACAAAAAGCCTGGGCATGAAGAAGAGAGAGGGCAAGGAAGGGGCCAGAAGAGTCCAACAGTGGAAGGTGCATGTGGATAACGGTGTTGTTCTGACCTGGTAGAGAGCTGTGAAATTCATGTGGAGGGCCACGGGGTAGTGCATAGGATGATGTTTGTCATGAGACTCTATTGGGAAGCCAGGCGTTCTGGTTTCATGGTAGAAGTATGTGAGTTTTCAATGTAAGTTTATGTTGAACAAGGAGGACAAAGAGCTATGTTTTATTGAATAACTGCTTATTTAATGAGCTCTGTCACTCCTTAGATTGAGTGATTCTGGGCTTCTGGGGAAGGAACAACATACAATTGTATTGTCTACAAATTTATTATCATTTAGTATAACATAATTATACATGTACTTATATAATCTGAACACATGTATACATATGCAGACAGGTTAAATTAAGGCTATATATACAAAATAATTCCTAATTATTTTTTTTAACTGTGCGTAGCAGTCTTAATGCAGCATTTTGGATGTGATGTGGCTCACTGACAGGCACCGATGGCTTATTTTCACCACTGTCAACACTGGTACAGTTGTAAATTGAATCCATGGGGCTGCTCTTCCTCATGTGTCCTGGATGGAGGTACTGAGCTCCTTAAGCTCCCTGGGGTTGTTCTGCTACGCTTAATTTGTCTTGGTTTTCTCTACTTGTTCTCATTGCTAGGTTTTCATTTCAGCAATGAACTACAACACTGTGGCTTACGTTCACTGTTTAAAAATCTTCAGAAAGTTGTCAGGAGAATAAATGGGAGCATAAGTTTTTGCATTTCAAAAGACAGAGATAATCAGGGCTGGCCCTCTGGTTTTGCATTATGTTGAATTATTTCCTTTTTCCTCTGTCCATTACAGAAGCACAAGTCCTGGCTTGTGTGAATCCATTCTCTCTCCTGTTTTGTGGCTTTTTGATATATTCTCAGACATGTTTCTCTGTGCAGAAATCTGTTGCTTGTGTAGAATGGGTCACGTTTTGCTGAGATACACGTGTCAGAATTGCACAGGCTTAACTTTTGAAGCAACTTTGTCTCTGAAGTGTAGTCACAGTGTGCCATGAAAAGATGGGCAGTGCCCTGTGTTTTCAGGTCTCTGGGCTAGGGTTTATACAAAAAAGAAATGGGGAACTTAGCTAAAAAAAGAATGGTTTGTGTTTTCACAGCTTGTCCAGATGGATTCTTTGGGCTTGACTGCCACCAGGTGTGCAAGTGCAAGAATGCTGCTGGATGTGACCATGTCTTGGGAACGTGCCGCTGCCTGCCTGGCTGGCTGGGAGAGACCTGCGAGCAGCGTATGTACGGGCTGTGCTCCCCATCCCTGTTCCCAAACCCTTTCAGCGCTAACATGGGTTTCTTCTGGGAATGCAGGGTGACCTAGCAGGGTACAATTTTAGATAGGTCACATTCCTTTCTAAAGATGCCAAAAAAGGGAAGGATTTTTGGTAGCTATGTAAGTAATCAACTTCATATTTTTTAACTGCTCTTAGAACTATCAGACATTATAAGCAACTGTTTTTAAATAGCTGAGCTGTCTCCTGCCTTATGATAAATCTCTGCTTTTTATTTTTGTGCAACGTTAAGAGAAGAAATATTATGTCTGTGTTTCTGGTGTATCTCATCTAATTATCAATTATAAAGTGACAGATTACAAATGCACAAACTGGAAAAAATGGAGCTGGGACTATTTTGTTATTTAAGCATGAGAAAATAGGTTTTAAACTAATTCTTAGAAAAGTTATTTCTTTAAAAAACCAACTTTCTAGGTTTTCACAAGTATGGATTATCCCACAATCTTTGAGTTAATAAGGGGTTTTTGTATGTTTGTGTGTATGCATATATAAAATTAGCTCTTCTGAGAAATTGTTCACCACATTTCATGGGAAATGACATTTCTTTAGCTACATCGCATTATAGATGGAGATCACTGAACCCGTTTCGGGTTTTAGTCTCTCAGCTTCCTAGTTTCAGTTTAGGATGAGGCCATCATCTATACTTCCTTTTGAAAGTATGACTGCTGTCTGCAGGACTGTGTTGTAGAACTGATGTCTAAAGCAGCTCTACAAGGAGCCAGGTTTTTTTGTTAGTGAACACTTTCGTACAATTTCTTTAATCCATAGCTTGCAGATTTCTGCAGTAGAAAATTATTCTAGAAAATAGAGATAAATGATACTTGTATTGAAACAATTCTATTCTCCAGCCATACACCATGTTATAATCAGCCCTGTCTGAGGACTCCATTTGCTCTTGATAGTATTTTTCTCTCATTTGCCCCCGCCATGCAACACAGTCTTTCTTCTGAAGGGGCTTCTCCTGCAAAATCCCCTGCTCTTTTGATTTACAGAAGGGTCAATGCTGATGAGTCTTTCCACTTTTTAGATACTTCTGCAGCCATCCCACTGCTGCATCCCACTTTTTGCCTCCTTGTGCCCCCCCTCTGTAGGAATACTTGTCTCTCCATCTCCCACCGCCTGAAGATGGTGGTGGTAGTACTCCCCTGTGGGTGTAGGTTAATGAGCTGACCATTAAATAAATGCAGAGCCAAAGCCATACGCAAAGCAGAAAATATGCTGCTGAATAGGTACGATGTTCGCTTCTTGGTTGCAGCCCACTTTTCCTGCCCTTCAGTCGAGCCGTGGTGTTAGCAATGTGTCACCTTGGCCTTTCCCCGCCCCTTAGATGGCATTAGGGATGGGAAGCTTTGTTACATATTTCATTAAATTCAATTAAGAAATGCAGCTCTTTGTCAACAGCCCTCTGTGCCCCCCCTCTACTGACATGAGAAGGAAGCTATTTATTCTTTTGCGCCGCAGCCATTAGAGCTTTGTGCCAGGTTGATTTATTCCTCATGCTGGTGGAGATGCCAAAGCCTCTGAGGTCTCCTTTGCCCGTAAGTAAAAGAGCAAGGTCAGTTCGCAGTGCAAAGGGTCATCTCCTTTTCTCTTGGCTAGACGATGAGTCTTCGTTTTGATTTGAAGGCTGGACCGTGGCCTTGCCACTCCAAAGCTGCTCAGAGTAAAGCAACCATGGGTCAGAGGCGCCAGCTTATCACTCCCCATCCTTGTTGTGTGTTTAATATTCCCCTTGCTGGTTCTGGGACTTGCCAGCTCTAGCAGCTGGAAGTACAGCACTCATGTTCACGTAATCAGATTTCAGGCAATGTGCTGGAGGATATGGAGGAATAATTTTTACATCATGGGATTTGAATTGATCTTAAGCCGGCCATGCAGTACATTTAATACAGTCCTATCTAATTATGGGCAATACGGACAGCAGTGCCTTTTGTTGAAGCTGCCTAACACTTTCCATTACAAGACTATGTTTTTCAATTGCTTGTAAATGAATTATATTAATCTGGGATGAAATCTGCCAAGCAAACTCTGCCTCAGCTTAAGGTTGTTTGGTGATTTTTTTTTTTTTTTTTTTTCTTGGAGGGGGGTGGTTTTGAGTGTCTGCCTAAGAGATTTTAGGTTTACAAAAAAGTTTAGGAAAGGTGTGTCACCAATATTTAAAATAAATTAAACTGTTTCATGGAGTGTCATAATGCCTCAGCGGTATAGAGTCAGGACTTGACTTTTGGCATCTCTTCATGCCAGAGATGTAACCTTCCTTTTTGCGTACAAATTCATCCAAATTTTATAGTTTCTAAAAACAAACAAACAAAAAAAACATGAAAAAAATTTTCTCACGTCGTGTGTGGACTGTGGAAGTTGAATACAAGTCAGCATCTGCATTTTGCCCTGCTTCTGGTAGTACTAAAAAATGTCTCTGGAGCTGTTGGGGCTCAGCAGGATCTTCACAGAAGTTGTTCCTTGTGGTAAAACAAGACCACGATGGTTTGCAAAATAAATGAGTATGGAAAGATCAGGTCTGCCGGAGTCTCTGCTCAAGGGCACTGTTAACCAGGCATTTGACATTTCATCATGTGTGAGCACTTGACTTTGCAAATTCCGTGTTCTTTTAGAGCTGAAACTTCATTTTGGGGAGAATTATCCACAGGAGCTGCATGAAATCAAAACTTCTGGGCACTCTATTGAGTCTTAGTGCCCATCATTTCCTTGTGTCCCCTGACACTTTTGGTGGCTGTTGACTTCCAGTCTGAATGTTTTGATCTCCAGATTCACATGTTCCTTCCTCTGTGTGCAAAAAGAGATTTTAAAGACTGCAAAAGAATAAATCTTCCTCTTAGAGAGGAAAGGCACTGAGAGGAAAATTCTGAACCAGGAAGAAGAGTAATAATTTAAACTTTTCCATTGCTTCTTTCCATTGCAGTCATCATGAAGAAAGCAGAAAAGTCCCAAGGATGTTTGTACATTCAGTTGAGAAACTTCATAAAATAGCCTGAATATATCACATGTTACCTTATCCTTCAGAAGAGTAGTTTGTTAACCAGGATTGTCCTACAGAAAAGCTAAAAAAAGCTTGTATCCACTCAATAGAAAAATTAAAGTTTTCTCCTCCAGAAATTTTGCTTTCTTACCAGAATTTTCACTGGAAAACTCTTTTGTCTTCTTGGTAAGCATAGCAAGAACTTTGCACACGTACTCCAAAAACCTCACACAAACCACTAGTAACTGGTCAGGGGACCTGGTTATGAGCTGGTTTTTCCTTTGGCTTGGTTATGATATAGTTCTGGTCTGTATTGTGGAAATATTTAGTTCTGCTCCCAAAACTGAGCCAGAGCTCTGTAGGATGGGCTGAACTTTTTAACTTGGCAACCAAGCCTCATTTGCAGAACAAACTTTTAACTGTGATGGGACTGAGCTCCTGCACTTTCTTGTGGTTTCAATGTGGATCGGGTTCAAGCAATGACAGAAAATGAACACTGTTGGGAAGAAGTCCTGGGAGAAATGGTGTCTGTGAGAACGGCATTGTGAAGCTGGAAATCCTCAGATGGGGAGAAAAGGGCTGAGAAGAGATCAGATACTGTCAACCAAGTTGACCCCTGAGGTTGAGATGGTTTCACTCCTCCCTTCAGTCCCCAGGGACCTGTCTTCCTGCAGGAGTGCATCTCATTCTGCACACTGACACCCTAAAAGGCATAGAGGTTTTGATGAAAAGTCATTGCTTGGGTCTGGTTCTGGGAGATGCCACATTCAGTGAGTGCAGGACACTTTTCTAGATCAGGGATCAGAGCCTTTTTTTGCCTCCCCAATGTGTGACAGCAGTGCTGCTGGCATGGGAGGCTCTAACAGCTTTGTACAAGTGAAGGAGAGCCTTTGCAAGGCAGGCACGGAACCTATGCAAGGAGGCCATCCAACTTCATCAACTCATTTTATGTTCTGTGGGTGATACCTGAAGAAAGCAGGGTAGCAGTACTGTCTGTTTTCCACTATTTAAAGCTAACCAAATCTCCAGTGCAGTGGAGACTACAGGAACTTTATCACTACCGTTTTTCGTAAGCTGAACAGCACTGAACACAGACTTGCAGCGAGTGTCTGTTTGCGAGATGCTGTGTTAAGTTTTCACCTGAGAGCCAGCTGCTTAACTGAATGTGTTGAAAATACCACCCCTCTCTGACCAAAGAATGAGGCTCTGGGTGAGCAAAGGCATCCAGCTGTGAAAAATGAACACAGAAAACAATGAAGTTGTCAGTTCTCTTACCAGGATGCAAATAAATACCCAGGCTGTCAAGCTGGTGGTTCTGCTGGACCATTAGTTTAGCACAAAAACATTCTGCAGGGCAGCGAATGACAGCTGATCCATCACCCAAGCAGTCTTGCCCTTCGATAAAACTTCTTCAGTTCATGCTATGATACATATTTTTAAGCCCTATTATTTAGTGTCAGGCATGGCTAATATATGGACTCAGGTGCCCTTACGATGTGAGAAGTGTGTCATCAGAAGCCAGTTTCAAACTGATTTTTCCGGCATTGGGTTGTGTCTCAGGTTTGCCCTGTACGATGCCTCCTTTGATGCATCCTGATGGGGTTTTATGGACTTTCCTTGTTGCAGCCTGCCAGGGGGATAGCTACGGGCCAGGCTGCAGTAACGCTTGTCACTGTCACAATGGAGCACTCTGTCATCATGAAACCGGGATGTGCCTTTGTAGCCCGGGGTGGAAAGGAGCCACCTGCCAAGAAGGTATAGTTGGAAATTCAAACCCCTGCCAGAGGATTATGGGAGGGAAAAAATAAAACTCCTGCTTAAGGGGATTTGTTGGTATTTTAATTATCAGCTCATTGCCCTGTTGTGTCATTGGTTTTGTATCTGCACAATAACGTGGCTTGGTCCTTAAAATAAATCCGTGATGCTGCGTTGCAGGGGCCAGGTGTAGGTGCTCAGTGTACATGGGGCAAAGGGGGTGGAAAGAGTCATAAACTTGGAAAGAGCTGGTTTTGAAGACTGACTGATTAAGGGAGAAAAGGTCCATAAAATTCCCGTTTATGACACTGAAACAAAACCGTTTCTTTTCTATGGCCTGCTTTACTGTCCCATGCACCCGACTGATCCACATCATTACTGCACGCTGTTCCAGACATAGGCTAAATCCAGAACATGTGAAAGGCATTGGGACTTCCAGCCTTGGCAATTAGACCGATACGTGTGACTCAAACACAAGCCCAACTCCAAGGAGCCTTAAGAAAAGAGGCTGGCAAAGAAAAGCTGTGCCAAGGCTTATGTTTCATCTCCTAATCCCGTGTACCCAAGCCTCTAGAAAAAGTCTTTCCATCACCATTGCGGAAGGCTCCTTTTTCTGTGCCTCCCTGCAAGGTCCCTGGCTCTACAGGCAGTGTCACAGAGCCAGGGTTGCAGGGCTGTAGGGCAATTGCTGCTGCGGATGCTCCTGGGGTTTGGAGTCAGCGCGTCCATGCAAGCAGCGGCTGCATACCGAGAGTACAGTTAGGGAAAGGGAATGAAAGCTGACAGGGGTAGGGGAATGTATAAATTAAGTGAGTCATCCCTTAAAACCTTTCCATGATGGACTGAAAAACTGGGAAGGCGCCAAACCGTTCTTGGTGACATGTGCAACACGACCTAAAGTTTTCTGGTTTGCCTGAAGGCCTCAAATACAAAACCAAAAAAAATGTTGTCAAGTATTAAGACATTGTCAAACTTTTTTTCTTTAATCATACGTTTTGGGGGTTTCTTTTCTCTTTGAAAGTAAGGAGGTAGAATAAATGTGTGAGGCTGGGTGAGCCATTCTCTGGTGGTTGTGCTTTTGCAGAGTGAGAATTTGCTCCTGTTAGCATCTTAAAAAGGTGCCACTGTAGCACATGAAAAAGGTCTGTATTTTTGTGCCAAAAAATTTAGATTCTATACATAAGATTTGGTTGTGATGGGAATTAATAAACTCGCTTAATTAAAATCAGGTAAAGCTGTGAAATCTCATCAGCCAGCTGTGGGTAGCAAGATCAATTAGAAAAGTAATTGCAATGTTGGGAGGACTGTACAAAGAAATTTTGAAAACAGGGAGATCAATAACTCCTATCCCTGGCATTGAGAAAGCTGGTAGGAACCAAGAGATGTTTTCGGTAGGTGCGAACAGAAATTCTTGAGGTCATTTGTTGGGTCATAGCTAATTGACTTCATCACCTGTTTTATTCCCAGACGAGTTTTACACTGGTCTGTGTAATTCCTTATCAGTCGTGGCCCCGTTTTCACTCTGTTGTACCTCCCACGGCATCTCCATGATCCCTGGGGTGAAAGGGAGTGTAAACTGCGAAAGGTTGTGTTTAACCAGTGTCCTCCTCCTGCTTTTCTTAATGGAAGGCTTTTGTCCTGCCTCCTCTTTGCAGCCTGTCTTCCTGGCTGGTATGGTGCAAACTGTCTCCAGCGCTGTGTCTGCCACGGCCAGGCTACGTGTGACCGTGTGACAGGCGAGTGCCGGTGTCCCCAGGGTCGGACAGGGATAACGTGTGAACTGGGTGAGTCTCGTCACATCCTCCATCTAGCCAGCGCCTTGTTTCAGTCGGTCTGGGAGGAAAATCAGTTCTGGTGAGGTCTGGTTTGAGACAGTCCATAAAAAAGAGAAATGAGGGGCAGAGAGGTTGAAAAAGTTGGCGTTGTTTAGTCAGAGGTGACAAGACTGCGGGGAGAGATGATATTAGCACATGAATGTACCACAGTGCTAGAAGCTTGCTGGACAAAGGAGAAGAATGAGCTATCCTCTCTCCCTTGGGGACAGAGAAGATGAGTAATGAACTCAATTTGAGGAGAAAAAAATAATAAAATAAATCCTCCAATAGGAAAAAAGGTGTATTTCTGGAGAATTTCGCCAAGTGAGGCTTCAAAATCTCCCTCACTGAAAGCTTTTAGGACCAGCTTAGGTGTCTCACCATCTTTCAGAGGTATGTGTTCTCCCTGGAGCCCGTCCCAACCGGCTCCCCGTCAGCCTCCCCCATCTTGTTTCAGAGTGTGGGGATGGGAGGCACGGAGAGCGCTGTGAGCAGAACTGTACCTGCCACCACGGGGTTTGTGACCAGAACTCGGGAAAATGCATCTGCCATGCTGGCTGGACCGGAGACCACTGTGCTGTCGGTAAGGGTAGTTCCTTCTCCAGATGCTTTATTTTAACTCTCTCCTCTGCAACCAGCCATTTCTGTCTCCACAATAAGAAGCCCATCTCTGTTTTGTATCTTAATTTTCCAGTATTCTGTAGGCCAATAGGAAGTAATGCCAATGTGAGCACTCACCGTGTGTCTTGGGAGCCCCAGGGCAGCTCTCTGTGCAACCACAAATACTTGCCCTTGTCCAAATCATTTTATCTCCTTCTACTTCTGCTCCCTGCCTGCTAGGGAAATTAAGGTATTTCTCTACCTTATGGGTACAAGGAAGAATATACGAAAGGGAGTGGGTTGTAAGGAGAGTTTGCCAGGTCAGCCACGTGCTGCTGCGTCTCAGCCAACTGGACTGTGATGGTTCCAGTTGTACCTGCCTTGCATGCGGTCCAGTTTGCCCAGATTTGACATAGCTGCTGGCATGTTTAGATCCATGTAAATCCCTGAAATAGAAATCTCGTAAGCAGTAGGTATCAGATGACTTGAAATATGCCTTCAGCTTGGCCAGTGATGTGCTGTGACTTCTGCAAGCCACAAGCAATTTTCTGATGTCTCCTGAGGTGCTGCGGACTCTCAAAGCCTCAGCTACTGGTGTGATCTGGAAATCCTTCACAGTGCCCACCATCCTTTTCTTCAGGCCTACTTTCTCTATGGTCACTTTGCAGAGCCCTGTGAAACGGAGAGCAGTAGGTGGACACAGTGTATTTTCACTGTTCGATCAGCTGTCCCTCTGTCTATGCAAACTGTGTAAAAGTGAATGGCATCACCATCTCTATAGACACCATCTGGATTAAAAATGACTAAGTCTTTGCAAGCTTTCATGCAAGCTTTCTTCATTTATTAATAGCCAACACTAAATTCTTTTAATATTCTTAATATATTTTCTTTCAATGGTATTTTCTGGGCATGCAGTCTTCTAAATATACATCGCCATGTGCAAGAAGAACAATATTGGCTTATTTTCCAATGATGGATGCTTTCCGTGCAGTGGGAAGAACTGTTGCTCTCTCTGCTTCTCCTGGCAGCTTGTGCCCCGGGATTTTTCGGCAAGCAGTGCAAGGAGCAATGTGACTGCGTGCACGGCGTGTCCTGCCACCGTCAAACTGGAGCATGTCGCTGTGAAAAGGGATGGCGAGGGAGGCACTGTGACAAACGTGAGTGTCTGCTGGGTGTTTATGGAGGAAAGTTCACGTTGGAGTGTACGTTCCTCCCAGATCTGATGCTGATGGCAGGATCCTTTCACTCCTGCGTTGCTCCATGGGGTCCGTCTGGAAGTGTTCATGGGGATGGGTGCAACAGATCTGTTGGAGCTGGGATGGCTTTGCCCAGCCCCTGCCCTAACAAAGATCGGTTGCACCATTGCAGCTTGCTTGCCTGGACGCTACGGCGTGGGCTGTGCCCAGCGGTGCCGGTGTCCTGCAGGTATCCCCTGCCATCACCTGACGGGCGAGTGCGGCTGTCCTCCGGGATTCACCGGCTATGGCTGTGAGAAAAGTAAGTTTGTTATAAGAGTGCAAGTACTTTCCTTGTAAATTAATTAAGAAATGAATTTCTTAAATAAAATCTTGATGATATAATCAATGTCTGAAGAGGAAGGAGACAACAACCTCACAGCAGTGAAGATGGACAAGGGCTATGCGTCACTCATCCAAATGGTTTGGCGGGTTCTGACCTCTGTGCCTGGCATAGTTTGGGCTGGTGAGGTTTGCCTTCTCAAGGTTCGCAGCTCTCAGGCTGGCAGGGAGTAGCCACGGACTGAACTGTATAAAAACTCAGTGGATCAGGAACTGGCTGGACGCTCACACTCAAAGACTCACGGTCAATGGCTCAATGTCCAAGTGGAGACCGGTGACAAGTGGTGTTCTGCAGGGGTCAGTGTTGGGACCAGTGTTGTTTAACATCTTTGCTGGCAACAAGGACAGTGGGACTGAGTGCACCCTCAGCAAGTTTGCTGACGACACCAAGCTGTGTGGTGCGGTCAACGTGCTGGAGGGAAGGGATGCCATCCAGAGGGACTTGGACAGGCTTGAGAGGTGGGCCTGTCCAAACCTCATGAAGTTCAACAAGGCCAAGTGGAAGGTCCTGCATGTGGGTCGAGGCAACTCCAAGCACAAATACAGGCTGGGCAGAGAATGACTTGAGAGCAGCCCTGAAGAGAAGGACTTGGGGGGGTGCTGGTTGATGAGAAGCTGAACATGAGCTGGCGGTGTCTGCTTGCAGCCCAGAAAGCCAAGTGTGTCCTGGGCTGCATCAAAAGAAGATTCTGCCCCTCTGCTCGGCTTTTGTGAGACCCCACCTGGAGAGCTGCGTCCAGCTCGGGTGCCCCCAACATAAGGAGATGGACCTGTTGGAGCGAGTCCAGAGGAGGGACATGAAGATGGTCAGAGGTCTGGAGCACCTCCTGTATGAGGACAGGCTGAGAGAATTGGAGTTATTCAACCTGGAGAAGCGAAGGCTCTGGGGAAACCTTACAGCAGCTTCCAGTGCTGA